GCAGGGAGCCCGATGTGGGACTCGATCCCAGGACCCTGGGATCATGACCTGAGCCGAAGGCAGTCGCTTAACCGACTGAGCCACCCAGGCACCCAAAATGTTTCCCATCTTTATTCAGTGGACCATATCGGCCATCACTAAACTAGGATAAGCATAATCTATTTTATGGTTTGGTTAAATTTTTATCTGTGTAGTAAAGTTAATATTTTCTTTCTGGTCTGAGGTCTTGTTCAAATAAAAGAAAGAAGAAACTTTATTCTAATTTAATACTAAGCTAGGTATTAGGCCAGTTCCTGAATGTACAAGGAGCAATACACAATGCAGTTCTGCCTTTCTGCGTTTCATAATCCAGTATGAAAAGACAGAAAATTAATAAAATCACAACAATTAGATAAGTGCTATACAGAGACACTGGTAATGATGATGTAAAATAAGACAGGATGGGTGGATCAGGAGGCCGGGCATTCAGTGAGAAGACCAGTATTGCAAAGGCATAAAACGCACGAGAGCACGTGCCACCTTAGATCCAGAGCACCAACAGGGGATGGAAAAGCTGATGATGGTGAGGTGGGCAGGGACCAGATCATGAGCGAAACTTTGGACTTGATCTCCTATGAAAACGGATTCTTCTGGCTACACTATGGAGAATGAACTGGAAGAGAGGCCAGGCTAGGCTACACTTAGGGAAAACAAATAGATCATGAATGACCTGAACTAAGTCCAAGGCAGAGGAAAGGGGACGAGAGGAATGATGCAGAGAGAGATTTTTTTAAAAAGAAGAAATGATGATGGAGATATAAAGAGCAGAAGGAAAAACAGGATCTACAATGTCTCCCAGGTTTATTACTCTAAGAACTGACTAAATTCAAAGCGAAAGAAAACCCCTAAGAGATTTCCAGATTCTGACATACCATTTATTATCATAAAACAAAACAGTGCTAATAAGTTTCCTGGGATACAACTTTTTTCTGAATTCTGACATTTCTTTTACTCTATTAAGTTTTGAGGAACCAAATTATTACATTTCTTATAATACCTACAACATTTATAATCAAACAATAGGGATCCTTTATACATGTATAGACCTTTTTTCAAAATTCTTTCATAAATACTGTCATATTTTATTCTTACAATGACTCTTCCAAATGTATAAAGTAGATTTTATTATGCACACGGGAAAGCAGAGGAAGCTAAGACAAAGGCCAAATTACCTGTCTAGGATGACCTACAGCAAACAGTAAAACTGGAACTAGAATGTACACGTAATAATTTATAACCCCAGGCTTTCTTTCCCCCTTCATTATGCCCTTGCTAATTATTGGCTGAAAACGCGAACACAGATAATCAGTGGTGTGCTGGTGATAAATGTTCAACAACTGACTCTTCGGGGAGTGGGGTGAGGGTGAGCCACGATTTGTGCTTTTGCCCATTTCCATGGTGTAAATGCTCCTACCATGGCTGATTTCATGCTACCAACTCGACGTCGCTGGATGCAGACTGAGAAGTGCTGCACTTTATCAGCTCTTGCAAGCTAATAGGAGCTGGCTGTGTTTGAAATGGGATCTCTTAGATGCTGGTTCCAACATTACGTCTGATGAAGTTATTTCAGGTAATCCGTCATACCTCCTTGACTTTCCTGAGTCGTCAGTTGACTCCTTGACATGTGATATGTTTGGATAAAAAAAGGCAGGTATTGAAATGATTTCTAAGGATCCAGACCTTAGTTGCCTTTTGAATCTGTAAAGAGAAGTAAATGGAAGCTTGCAACTGAATATTTGATTTACCAAAATAACAAATACTTAAAAAGAATGTCCTCATGCATGTCTATATATTTTTATTTGAATTATTTCACATGTAATTACATGATGTCCACATTATGAAACTAAAATTTTAGTCAAAGCATTTCTTTTATAAATTAGTAAGCAACCTAACAAAAAATTAAAATATACAATATAAAATTAATTTCCTTTCATAAAAATTATAGGCACTTTAAATTTTTGCACGTTTACAGATATGTACTCTAAAAGATTCAAAATAATGGAACTAACGAGTTAGCATAGAACATTAGATGATTTTTTAAAGTGCATAGTTTTGAGTTTAATAAGAGTCCTACTGGGGGCAGCTGGGTGGTTCAGTCGGTAAAGCGCCTGCCTTCGGCTCGCGTCATGATCCCGGGGTCCTGGGATCGAGCCCCGCATCGGGCTCCCTGCTCAGCGGGAAGCCTGCTTCTCTCTCTCTCTCTCTCTCCCCCTCTACCCTTCCACCCCTGCTCGTTCTCTCTCTCTCAAATGAATAAAATCTTTAAAAAAATTTTTTTAAATAAATCAATCGTCATTGAAAAAATTTTGCTTATCTGAATCCATTTTCATCTTTACAAATACTTCCGTTTCTAATTTAAGGCCAACTAGCTTTATGTTTGAGATGGCAGGTGCCACCATGTCCCTGCCAGAGAGGGTGGCTGCCCAAGAGATGACAAGAGGGAACCGGCACTCTCATCCACCACTAGCTGGGAAGAATGGTGGTGCACGTAAACCTAAGAATAGTTCTCCCTAAGAGAGGGGGAAAGGAAAACTATAATTTTCCTTTTATTTAATCTCATATATATTGCGTGTCACCTATCCACTAAGAGGGTCTCCTAAATGATTCAGAAAAATGTGGAAGTCCTCAAGCACATTACCAGAACACAAAAGAGAACTACGTGGTTTCAAATTGGTTAAGAAAACATTGGCTGGATCTCATGTTTCTGTTACATTCCACTAACTAGGAATCAAAAGAGATTTTTTTTTTCTTCCAGTAAAAGAGAAGACCCTACTTCGGGCCTTTTTCTAACATTCTCTCTTCTCCAGTGATATCTTGCAAACTCTTCTTACAACTGTATATTGTCACATGTAGTAAGGCGTATACTCACTGCTGGGAAACATAACACTATTATTTAACAATATGCCAGAATTCAGGGAATTCAAGCTATATATAATTGATTTATTTCAGAACTACGGTAAGGCATTGTAGAACTGGGTAGAACATACAAGGTGAGCCAATGTAGGGTACCAGTGGTAAGCATACACACTGTCTGACATCTAATAAGTGCTCAAAATATGTCTGCTTAATGTTAATGTAATAAATTTGTGAGAAGAGAAATGTAGGAAGCATAATTTCTATTTTTTTTCTAATTTGAGAATTGCTTTTCAGTTTGCTTCAGGTAACTATAATTTCCTCTGTTAATAGTAAATCCAGCAAGAAGACTTATATAAAATCAACTTTAAACTTCCTTTTGGAACTTTAATGAGTATTTTCTGAGTACAAAGGTGGAGGAATACAATGAGGAAGGAATCAAAAGAGGGAAGGAGAACATAATTCTTCCACTTATATATATATACCACGGTCTTACCTGTAAATAATACATGGCCTTGGGTTGGGCATACAGCATCAAAAAACAAAAATCCAGTACTTGTTTGATGCACCTACTAAAGATAATAATAAAATCTGTTAATATTTGTCATTATTACATAATTTTTATTTATAAGCACACTTCAGTAATTAAAAACAATTTTTTACACTTTGCTAACATAGAGTACTATCTACAGTAAGTGTAATTGAATATTTTATACTGAAAAGTTATATTAAAATGTTTCCCATCTTTTTTTTTTAAAGATTTATTTACTTATTTATTTGACAGAGAGAGACACAGCAAGAGAGGGAACACAAGCAGGGGGAGTGGGAGAGGGAGAAGCAGGCTCCCCGCAGAGCAGGGAGCCCGA